AGCGTTTTGGGGCGTCCCATTGGATGGAAGTGAGAGTTAGGTAGGGCTGAAAATTTGCAGCCAAGGCGTCGGGCAAGAGATTAAGCTATGCAGCCGGGAACACAAGGCGAAAGTCAAAGCAACTAAACAGGGCATTACACTCCCTTTTTTTAAGAAACTGTGTTCGATTTTCCCTTTCCCTGTTACGCAAGTATTTCAAGGTCTGGCCTCGATGCAACTCATGGTCAGCAGTAGCTCTCTCTCCTGTCTCATGCTTTCGAGTTGGGCATAACTTTTAGACAAAGTTAAAGCTGTTGAGAAGTTCAAGTACGTTCCTTCCATCTTAAGGTAGCTGAGAAATGGCTCGGCTGGCTTGTGCATGTTCGCCCACATCAATGAACACACTGTAACGGCAAACACGGAAGTAGTTCCAAGGAAGAAAAGAAGGAAGGCTTCCTTCCTTCAGCATAAATGGCAGTCGATTTTTACCCTATAAAAGTGGTCCGTGGACCAGACGATAAGTCCAATTTCATCCTTTTTTCGGATTAAAGGAGTTCAGTCGTGCTTAATGCCCTCCTCCTACCAATTGCGAGGAGTCAGAACGTTGCTCGCATAATTTTTGTTTAAATCACCACCGTCAGAGGGATGGCGGTCTGATTAGTTAAAGCGGGACGCAAGTGGCTAGGGGAGCCTCGATGATGCCTTCGTCGAGTCAATGAATGCGCACCCAAAGAAGATCATTTGCTCATCAGTTAGCCCATCGGCCCACTTGACCAGAGGCAGTACACAACCCAAATAAAAGGCACAAGAATGAATTTATGTTAGAAGTGGCAGAGAAAGTGATATTCCACTGCAGGTTGTAGACGTTGTGGTCCTCATTTAGAGCATGATTTGAGGGTGCTTCCATCACGGTCGTCTCCTCTACTCGTCATTATAGAGCTTTAATAAAAAAAGGGAGGTTTCATCTGTCTATAAATTGCATGTCATTAGGTTGTGTCTCTTCTCCCATTCCCACCTAGGGGTTTGGCACCGATCCCCTCCGATGTAGGGGTAATTGCACAAATGTTGGTACACGTTTTTGCAAAGCATTAATCCCAACTGACAGACATGACTGCCACTCTGTGAAATGAGAATGAAAAATGAGATTTGCATTTACTAGGGAAAAGCTATTTGACAAATGCTAATACCATAACTGAGGTGTTGAAGCAAGCAAAAGTTGGCCGTTATTCTGTGTTGAAATAATTTCGTGTACTTACAACTTTTAGCCATGAGACGAATCCCCTTTGCTATCCCCCTTTTTTTTCCCCATTTGATCAGTTCCTCAGATCACCTGGCAGAAGAAAAACGGTGGAGCTCCTTGGAGGAACCTCGATTTTCCATCTCGATAGCGGCAGTGGCCTTCGCGGGAAAATGGGGAGGAGGTGACAAAGTCGGAATTTTGCCAACATCTCTAGCCTTCTATAGAACCGTAAGTCTAGCAATTCCTTTCATTCTACCTCAATTCTAAGGTCTGAAATTGGCTGCCAAGGCATCACTACTATGCTGCAATGGAGGGAAAGACTAAATTAAAAAAAAATTTCATAGATTAGCATTATTTGGTAAGACGTGGAGTGTTGCGTCGGACCTTAGGTTCCTAGTTTACTCAACAATGTGACGCTTGCCCTTGCACCCACAGGTACCTCTGGGGAGGGCACAACTTTGTCAGCTCTCCCATGTGGCCCTCGAGTTGCCTCCTCCAAGTCGTCATCAGTGGATTCCATTATGACTTAACTTCGACAATAATTGCGAACATTTGTAAATGATTGTATCCAATGTGTCTTATCGAAGAAGTTAACAGTAAATTTGTCACAAGAATGAATGTTATGGCCTCGGACTTCAACCACTATCAGTGGGATGCACTTAAAACAGCCCCTCGGGAACAAAAGTCATTAGTGGTTTTACTTCCTGTTCCACGGAAAACCACATCCTGGTCCTCCACTATACACAATCAGTTTTAGTTCCAATTTGGGGACATTCTTGGAAATTACACCTTAGTAATTTGTAGCAGAGTATCCAGACTACGACTACTAGTAATCTCGATTTCAGTAGTATTGCTTCTTAAAAAGAAGCTGGTTTCAAATGCACCAAATTGACATAAATGCATTAAACAACTACATTTTGGTTCAAAATAGAGAGAAGTTGCCTTTGATGGGTTTCACCAAGTTACTTTTTCTTGTCTCTAAAGCATGCCATATTACTATGGCCTAAGTGTAACCATTATAGGACCCAAAGCACAATGATAAGTGAGGTAAAACACTCATCCAATACCAAGTAATCCAAAAAACGGGTCAAAATTTTCTTGTTTTCTTTTGTTTACACAGTACACAATGGAGAGATTTTTGGATCTGCGAGATTGAAGCCTGTGCCATCACTCTTTTTGCAATGGCAAGAAAGCTAAGCAGTGCACTTTAGTGCTTGGATAAACAGAACTCTTAACTTTGAGGGAGAGACAAAGTGGCAACGCAGATCCAAAAACTTAGAGAGCCTCCTTAAAGCTTGCCGTCTCAAGCTTGACATTCTGCCCGTGAATAATGGAGGTGACTTGCGACAAAAAATCAAGGCTGTCTAAGAGTGTTCTTAACATTCCCCCTTTTTCCAAACTTTTGGAATAAGGAAACAAAAGGCGAAGGTAAGATTTTTTTGAAAGTTCGTCCTTTTTAAAGACTTTCAACTA